AAAATATTTTCCAGATATATGAACTGGAATTCCTCTCAGAATATAAATTAATCTGGGAATATTATTCATTTTGAGAGTGTTCACTTTTCCCCAAAGGGTAAGGTTTAATGACTCCCATCTATTGATATCTGAAGAAACCTCTCTCTATATTTTATTTATATTATATATTACTAATTGAATTATATCTTTTGGCATACACATACTTAAATACTGAATGGATTCGGTAAAAATACAGAATTGATATTCCTGAAATGGATGGGTAACCAAATTTTCACCTCTTGGCATCAATTCCGATTTGGACCAGTTAATAGAGTATCCTATTTTACTAAAGGCATCTATCATTTGCGTCAACACTGGAATAGTAGTGTGAGATTTAGGAATAAACAGAAGAATATCATCTGCAAATAAACCCAATTTGTGTTCAACTGAGTTATGTACTACTCCGTAGATCTCCCTATGTTGTCTAATAATACAAGCCAAGGGTTCCACACAAATATTAAAAAGCAAGGGTGAAAGGGGACATCCTTGTCTAGTTCCTGTAAATAGTGGGAAAGTAGGAGAAAACATACCATTAACCTTTATTTTAGATGTGACTCATATAATATCTTGATCCATTTTATGAATTCCAAAGGAAATCCAACCCTGTTTAATACTGTTTATATATTTTGTCAAAGGCTTTTTCAGCATCTAATGATAAAATTACAAATTGATCTTTATCTTTATTCAAGTCTATTAAATCTACAATTAACCTAATGTTGTCTGCTGCTTGCCTAGTTTTTATAAACCCTGCTAGATCATTCTTAATAACAAATGGTATCACTTGCTGCAATGCATTTGCTAACACTTCTGTTAATATCTTTGTATCAACATTAATCAATGAGATTAGACAATAATTAGCACACTGCATGGAACCAGATTTTTTGAACAACTGCAATCTTCATATGAGCTTGTTTCTGTTTTCAACCCTTTGGAAAAGCTTGCTTCTCTGTCCTATCATCACATTTGGTAGGAATGTGAAAGAGGGCCATCTCAATGGCTGTTCCCAGGTTCTGGTACTCTCTGCAAAAGAGGTCAAGCTATCTACTTTTTAAAAAATGTCTTCCCATCAACAGGCAAAGATATTTAAAAAAAATAGAATAACTTGTTAGCAGAAGTTGATTTCAACTATTGAGACTTTAAAAAAAAAATTGCTTATTCTTAATTTTAATTTGTAACTTGAGTGTCATATGTACGTCAGGTGGAATATAAATTTAATAAATACATTTACTTGGGAAGGGTTAAGGAAAAAGCTATGTACATATAAATGCATATTTGACATATGCTTCTTTAAATGATACACTTCACTCTACTCTGTAGCATCTGTGGAGAAATAAAACTCATGCAGTCTTTATTTTGCATACTTGCTTATGTGTCCAGCCAGTTCTGCTCTAGATTTACAGTTTTCACCTTTACATGTGCAAAGCTACCTGAAATGACAAGAGTAGGCATCAGTTCATTTAAGAGGTTGCGCCACACTACCCTGAAAATAACTGCCACAATATATAATTTTAATCATTCTGTTTTTAAATTAACTGAAATACTGGATGGACAAAGTCAAGCATTAAATTTGGACACATATATACAAAGTGTGCAGCCACATTTATGACCTTACGCATGCTTAAGGATTGCACCTTATATCTTAGTTCCCCACCAATTCTAATTAAATATATTCAACTATTGAATATTTTTAGCTGAAACTGGATAATACAGTGGTACCTCTACTTACGAACACCCCTACTTACGAATTTTTCAAGATACAATCAGCTGCGGCCCCAAAAATTTGCCTCTACTTACGAACACCCCTACTTACGAATTTTTCAAGATACAATCAGCTGCGGCCCCAAAAATTTGCCTCTACTTACGAACTCGCCTCG